ATCTAACTTGTACCAAAATATATTCAGGTATTTGAAATATCCCCTGGACATCATTTTCTTTTGTTGTCAGATCATATAGAAATACCAATAGACCATTTTGATATATTTTGATATATTTATCTGTAAAATTACTAAGCATTCATTTGTTGAAAGAGAATTATTTGTATCCATAAAATACTTAAATATTTTGAGAAGAAGCATGCATTAATAGTAATCAACTAGAGCTTGTGTTTTATTATATTCAGGCTCCTGACGTTAAATAAAGATTTTTTGTATCATTCTTGTACCAATGGAGTCACAAGGGTACTGTCTATACTCGCTTGTAAGTCAAAAGTCAAATTGCAAACAACATAGATCCAAACTTGCCATATCATAATGCTTCTGTAGATTTGGGTCTATATGATTTGATCAACTGATTACTCAATAGCAAACTGCACAGAACCAGATCTGCCAGCACATAATGCGATTACAGATCTGGGTCTGTGAAGTTTGCAGTTGGACGCATCTTATGAGTGAGTATATATGATAATTCTTCATTGTACTGTATTGTACATTTTTGCCAAATTTGTAATAGAAATTGTACATCTCTAGGACCCATTCTAAGGCATACATATATTGGATTTGCATTTAATTTCTAAATAATTATGCCAGAAAATCGGCCTAATGTGAAAACATTGCCCATCATTTTTCAAAGCCAGACATTTATTTCTTCATTAAATTATAAGGTATAGGAAACTCCCTTAAGTCTTAGTTTTTCAGTTGATCAGGACATACAAGAAGTCTAAATAAAAAAATTTACGTTGCAGTGTTGCACCTTGATCAAGTTGTCGGAACAACAGCTTATGTACCTCTGTTCCTCTTCAATGACACTAAATGGAAGATTGTTACATTTAGGGGGCATTGGTAGTTTGGGGTGGGAGATTATCCCTAGTCATGTTTACAAGCAAAACTGTAACAGTATCACTAAAGATGTGTTTTATTTCAAATGTAAACAAATTGGTGATATCTGGCCTACCTAGCTTTGACACTGAAACTATTTTGTACTTTAATGTTTTCTTATATCAGAACTTTTCTGTACTGTTGTTAATGTGGTGTTGAGATTGCCATCTATCATGTATTTGCAATATGGGAAATATGCTGCCCTGAAATACAGTAGTTATTTTCATTACATATTTAGTCAGTTTAGCATATTGTCAAACAAATTGTGCAAATGACTCAGTTAATACTATCATAAAATTTATTGTGAAAAATATTTTTGGAAATATAAGCCAAGTGGAGAGAGTTGAGGTTGCTAACATATTTGTGCATACAGTATACATGTATATACATATTTGAAGCATATGGAATATGTACAATATATAATTTTTGAACAGTATATACAATATGTACAGTAAATATGATATGTACAGTATAACATTTTAAAAGTATACACAGTTTATTCCTATTTGCAATATATGCAATATGTATAAACTTTAAAAGTACATGTATATGCATATTGGATAAACATAATTACAGTATATAATATGTACAGTATATACACTGTACAGTACAGTATATAATATATGTACAGTATGTAAACTATGTACAGTATATGCAATATTTACAGTACATGTATAAATATTTACAGTATATGCATACATACAATATATGTACAGTATACACATATATACCGTATATTCATATTTAAATTAGACAATCTTTTATTTATATCAAATGTCATAAAGTTGCTCTATCAAGTCTTCTTCATTACAAATGCAATCTTTTATATCTCGTCAATCATTTCTAAAATTCATTGATATTACTCTAAGATGCAAGGAGATCACTATTGATTTGCTGTGTCTTTTATATTTACTTGTAACATAACCAAGATCAAAATTTCTTAATATTGCTTGAAGTGGTTGAAAGTTGTATTGGTTTTATTGTAGTGCCTATTCTGATGTAATTATGCTCTACTTGGGGAATTAGACAAACAAGAGGGTTCATCTTTTAACTCCATATTGTAGTTGCTGACTGTTTTACTATGGTTTACATGAGCCAATACATGATCCTTAAGTGGACTTAAGAGAAATCATTCCCTGGAAACATTTCTAGACTTGAAGCTGAATTAAATTATGATATGATCATGTTAACTTCAGACATTTATCTAAGTCTAGCATAAAAACCAAACAAGCCAAAATTCTTAAGTTTATAACCAAACTATAGCAATATATCCACTTTCAACTTGAACTCCTTAGTGCAATTTACTAGAATTTCCAATTATGATATATAAGCAGGAAATTACTTGTAAAATATTTCCTCATGAGCTTATTCCAAATTTCGCTGAACTCGTCATACTCTGCAGGGAGCCAACAATATGATGCATAATAGATCATTTCACTGGTCAAAGTCAGATGGTCAGTTTTTCATGGTTCTAGTTACTAATGAAGTTTTCCATTAGTTCAGCATGTCATCTTACATTTCAAGACTCATGTTAAAATAAAGTCATACTCAGAATGATGCGCTACTATACAGTTCAAAACCTGACTCATGTTACTCATGGACTTTTTCAAAAAATATACAGCAGACCAATCTAGGGTTACAGGTGACGACAAACATTTTGTACTTGTAATAATCACTGCAACATTGTCTAATTTCACCTAGAGCAATTTAGTGGAGATGGTTCATGATCTTCGAGGTTGGGCATGTTATTGGAGCTCATTGCAAGGCTACAAATATGCCTTCTGGACCAACAGTTTTATGTAGTTACAGCCTCTTATGAAGTTACTACCTTTGATTGACTCAAAAGCTCTCCCTTTCTGTCTAGTTTCCACTAAGAATCTTTTGAAGATCATGATGGAGTGAAAATACATTCAGAATAGCTGGGTCAAATTTGATTTTCACCATATGGCAAAAGTTTAGATTTGTGGCCATTGTGGCTTAATCTTCAGTCTCCACTCATTAACTTTTTAAGGGCTTGATGAATTAAAACCAAGTCTGGTAAGAAACTTGACATTAAAACCCTTGAGGTGATTTTTAGGCATTTTCCAAGGAAACTATGGAGTCAATGCCCATTTTTGACTTTAACATTTTGTTTTCATTTGCATTATGTTGTTGTTGGCATCTCTGTTGTAATGGACACATTTCTTATTTTAAAAAAATGCTGTAAGAGAATGTAGATGACATCAATCTTAGATGAGTAATGGCCTTGATGTTGGTAGTTACTGCATAAAATTAAAGAAATCATATATGCATCTTAATTACTCAACCATAGTAGTTGTAGTTGTGTTGGCCAAGTGGTTAGCATATCAGACTTGTGACCAAGAGGTGTGGATTTGAATCCAGCCATCTGGTCCACCCAAATTGCTAACTAGGTGTGTCCCTGGGCAAGGCACTTAATTTCAGTAGCCTCATTAATTAATAACATCCTGATATTGCTTGGCAAAAACACCAGAAAGCAAACCAAACCTTTGTTGGCCCGCCCATCCATCTGTTAGCTTTAATTTTGAAAGGCAATTTTTATAATGATTTTAAAAAATTTAATTTACAGTCTGTGAATTATCTTTTATAGAAAGAAGACTAACAGGTTCTATTCAGCTATTTGCAATAAGTTTGTAAAAAAAAGCTGCAAAATATGCACGACTTATAATGTGATTTCTCTATTAGACAGCGCAGTTGATCTTAAGGTAGTTTATATTTAACAGTTAAATAAACATTGCAGAATATCAATGTGTTATCAAAAAATAATAAATTTGTGTTCTCTTTATAGCACAGTGAATTGTATTTAATACTTCTTCAACATGGAAGATTATTTACTGCTATATTCCATGGCCACCCCCAGGTGTTGGAGAAAATTGCAAGGAACAGAGATGGATCATTTGATACTTGATGTTATCAAAGACTGTCATTGTTTACTGGAAAATCAATCACAGTTATAGATATGGGCACCAGCATTTTCCTAGTCTTAGTTTTACTCTATGGAATATATGTACAATAAACACTTTTAAAATTGATGTAAGTGAGGTGAATATGTTTTTATGCTTGAAATGATATTTTAATTGTAACCAAAGTTAGTTTAGTCATTGATATCTGCTCTCAACAATTGTGTACAAAAATGACAAGGAAAATGACTATAGATTTAATTGTTGATTAGCTTGAATTGATCACAGGATAGTGTTGTAATATGATATCTTCATAAAATATATTGTCTATACTCACTTATGATAGGATTCAAGCTGCAAACTGCACAGACCCAGATCGGATGTTGAATTTGTTAGGAGTATTCAGTAAAACAAACAAGACAGACCCTGATCTGCAGGTACATTGTGCTACGTCAAGTTAGAATCATTTTTGTTGCAGTATGATTCGACTGATAAACAAGTATATACACTATTACAATTAATCAGTACAATTTAAGTTTTAATTATAATAGTCTCAATATTAAATCATTTCTCCAATTTTAAGGAAAGTTTTAAATATGTATTGTACCAGCAGATTATTTTATAGATGGCACTAAGTCATAAATAGATATCAAAACCTACGGTGTATGAATACCAACCTTTGCTGTAAAATTTAGAACTCTCAGAAAAAGAAAATTAAATTCTCTTGTGTGGTCCTAACTGCTGTATGGGCTGGACAATAGAGAAGGAAAATAATGTATATTCAGACCAACCTTAAAATGGGGTTACATTTATCTTGCTTCTGCTTTATGAAGCATACATTGGATCTCTGAGATTCTGAAACTGTTGAATCTGCAAAGAAAGAATGACCCATTATTGTGATGTGATGTGATTATGATTTTTAACGAATCTTTAACAATTTTTCAGTCACATTGCTACAATGTCTGCTGTGTGGCAGTTTTTGTAGTGATGTCTAGCACTAGGGGATTATGCTGCAGACATGTGGCATGATGTCCCACCCAGTCACATTATCCTGACACCAGGCCAACAAGTCCTAAAACTAGCCTCTTAATGCTGAGTGTCAAGTGAGGCAGCTGTTAGTACCATTTTTGTAAGTCATTGGTATGACTCGAGTGGGGATCGAACCCATGACCTCCCGCATCCGAGGCGGACGCTCTAACCACTAGCCACCAGAGCGGTGTGACCCATTATTGTAGTAGTATGGACAGTTGGTGAGGATGATAGGTGTACTCACAGGCTAATGATGGCTGTTTGTGTTAACGAAAAATATTTAAAACTCACTCATAATTTCTAAATATACCAATTTACTCATAGCATTTGTATCATTTCCAGTTTCTCTTTTTGTGTCCCCAAACAGCACATTCCGAATCAATCTAATGAAGCCTTTTGTGTATGCATTTAATTCTAGATCAATGTATAGACATGCAATGAATAATATAAAGGTTTTAACATTACATGGAAGAATATTTCCTAGAAACGCCGAATTGATGTATAAAGTATCCAGAAAAGTCATTCCAGTCTATCTAAGCAAAATCTTTCACCAAAGAGATGCAGATGGTACTCCAAATTTAAGGTCCATATGAAGCAAAAATTACATTATACCAAGGCTGAAGAAGCAATTGTTTAAAAAAAGTTTTCAATATACTGGTCCACTGGTATGGATCAACATTTCCAGTGACATAAGGCAGGCTCCTAACAGTTCTTCTTTTCATAATTAATGTCTCAAATGGATGAAATCTTTAGAAAATTGAACAGTTCTAGTACAATAAATATTACCTGCTTTTATGTAGTTTTGCATCATTTTCTCAGTTGAATTTTTCAATGCAGGATGATATTTTATATTTTGTATATTTTATGTATTCACAGATACCTGTGCATGTGTTCCAAGCTTGAAACTTTGACTTTTAAAATCACGTAATTATTTATCATCAACCCAGATTTTTCACCTCATGTTGTATATATTGTACATAACAGATAGAAGGCCTCACGGTAGATTAGTTCTGTAACTAATTGAGTTACCTTCTCTAAATAAAGTCTTTATTATTATTATTATTATTATTATTATTATTATTATTATTATTATTATTATTATTATTATTATTATTGCTGTCAACTTGTAACTTGTTGCCTTCAGTAGATTTGTAAATCCAAGCCTTTTCATAGAAAACATTCACTTGTTTCTGCCATTTTATGGGTAGGTTTAAAAAAAAACATTTTATGGGATTTTTTTATTTTTTTAATAATAAAAGTTATAATGGCGGTTATAGATCAATGAAATTCCATTTAAAAATGTGAAAATAATTTATGACACCTGCTTCCTATTATGTATGGTATAAAATGCTAATTCCTTGCAAAATATGACTTGATATATTTAGGTGGGGCTGTTTGAGATAATTTATATAGTAATTGAGTTGTAAATTGAATGTATAATGTATAGGTAATACACATAACTGGCATATTAATTTTTATTACACATTGATGATTATCATGTTTAAAAAATTAAAATTCTAGATATTCACATGGAAATTCTTAAAATTGTTAGCCCACTATGTGACTGTATTTAACTTCTAATTATGTGAAATATGAAACAAATAATTTGCTTAATGGTTTGACATGTTTCTTGCCAGTTTGAAATATTAGAGACATGAAACTAGTTCTCAGTTACAAACATGGATTATAATCATAATGGTAATTGTATTTTCAGTCTCAAAAAAGCTGGTGAAATTGCCCTGTTAATAATCAGGCCATTGCAACTTTATCCACATGCACATAGCATGTATCAATAAGGTTCCCCCCCACAACCCAAATGTGTTTCCATTCGGCTGACCATCCACATTTTACAGTGCTGACCCTAGTACTTTTTTTCCCTCTGGCTAAAAACATTTCCAAATTGATGTGTGCATTGAATTGGGCCAGTTTTGCCAAGTAGCTTAAGTGCATAGTACATTATATATACTAATCAATACTATATATATGATCCTTAAAAAAAAAAATTTAAATCCTGAAAATTTATGTCTTTAACTGAGCTGGTTTAGCCCATTACATGAAGCACTTGATACATTTTATCACACAGCCAGTATAGTTTCCCTGTTGTATGTACAGTTTTATATTATTGGTATTACTACATGTTAATGTATCACTTTATGTAATTCTGATTGGTCCAAATATGCCCATGACATTTTTGTGCAGTATACTGTTCTTTTTAATTTGAATGGATACTTATTCTTTGATTTATAGTTAGCAAAAATGTATAGTCTACTTTTACTATTTCAGCTTTGTTTGAGACTATATTTTTACACACAAGAAATGAATGGTAGTGTTTATTATTTTTTTTCTATCTAAAAGTCTTCTACTGAAATAAAAACTGATAAAATAAACTGTGATAAAAAAATCTCAAATGGGTAATGGCTTAATATTATAATTATTAGTATGTATATAGAGGATCTCAAATGGGTAATGATTTAATATGAAATTTATGAAACTCTTTAAATAATGTCCAGCTTTTGTGAGCCTTGGCTTGCAAAAGCTGGACATTTTTTGACTCATTTGAACTTGTACCTGAGTCTGACATTGTAACCTCTCAGTCTCTTTTTCCTGTCTCATTTGTAGCCTCATGCAACAAACAAGAGAGTGCATAGATACCTTTTTCACATTCCTAAGCCTACAGAGGTTAATTGTACAAGATATAAGAAATATCAGTTGTATGATAGGCCTTTGCATATCTCTATGTTAAATCTCTGTCACTGATGGTATGCCTGGCTATAAAGACATAAATAATCCTTAATTTCATTTTTCTAATTTGAATATAATAGGCATGACCTTTGTATAATAAAACTTTGTATGTATCTGAAACCATTAGAAAGTATGGCTTTTATAAGATCCAAGTTCATAATGGAAATTTCCTGTCAAGTAATTTCTTAGATGTGGTACCTATAAAATAGAAATTGATAGCATAGATTTCCTGCTAAATTATTTACCTATGACAATCAGCACAGGGTATGAATAATGCTACAAAAACTCCAGCCAGGTATTTTAATAATCTTATCAGCAAGCATACAGTTAGAGACTTTAAAGTTTTGTGTATCAATGCTTGGTACAGCTTGCCACCTTATGTTGTACTTAGGATTTGAAGAAAGTTACCCAAGCAAGTAATCTAGTACAGAAATAAATGCTGAAGTCATGGTATTGGAATGGGGTCATAGCTTGGTACTTTGGACTGGAAGGGTGGGGTGGGTTGACTACTAAATCCTAGGCTATGCTAATTCTCCAATAATATGGGAAAGATATAGCCAGTCCTGCCTATTATTGCAGTTTAGATTGGATGTAATAAATGATTAACTAGTTGGGTAATTGATTCGGCAGATAAGGTACATCTTTACACCTGTACTTTGCCCTTTGGCTGATATGGACTGTGATTGACTTGATTGATTCATTGAGTGAGTAATTTATTGAGCCTGACTTTGTCCCTTTAAATACAAGGTGTCAATTTGACCCAGTCCTTGTTTGTATTGTCTGATTTATCATATTAAATGTCTTACAAAAAATAGGCACATTTAAGGTACTCTAGTAAAAAAAAAATTTATTTTTATTTAAATTATTTGTGCAAATGAAAGAAAATTAACTTTGGTAGGAAAATCTGGCCCATTAAAGTGTTGGCATAAAGCATATTGATATAATAATATTGTTCGTATATCAAATTTGATACTCAGGTGGTATATGAATACATGTACAAATATTGAAAATTTCACCAAAATGTCAACAAGTTTGCTTCCAGAGCATTTTTAGCTCATAAACAAAGTTAACCTTAAAATTGTAGTAAATATCTTTAAAAGCATCACAGTAGACAGGTAGAAATCAACTCAACCCTCAAATGCAGGTAAAGGTCAATCATACAGTATAAATTAATTCTACATAACACTGTATCCCAACTCATTTCAGTAAACTTGCTGGTGACTGCATGACTTCATGTTCAGTGCTCAAGAAGCTAATCATGCAGTGTTTGTAGTACTGTATGTAATTTAATCCCATTTAATTTAATCCTATTTATTTATTCAGTATGAATGAAAAAACAATCTCAAAAAAAGAAGCCAGTGGAGAGTTGATGCATGTAATTTCCAAAGATGATTGTGAGTAGGTCCAGAACTATGGCAGGTAACTTGTCACATCTATCAATGCATAATTCCATATAGTTAATCTGAACTCTTTTGGAAATGCAAGTTTATTTATTTGTGTTTGATATAAATAAAACACATATATAATATGTTCAAAAGTGTCTTTGATATACCAATCATATAAATTTATTGTTAGAAGGAAACTCTTCAGGTCTTGATTCCTTTAAATAAAAAATGTTTACATCTCTTGGTATATCAATGAAACACAATAATAATAATAATAATAATAATAATAATAATAATAATAATAATAATAATAATAATAATAATAATAATAATGTATTAGTATTAAACATGTATTAGTATTAAAATTACCTGACAATTATTATTATTATTATTATTATTATTATTATTATTATTATTATTATTATTATTATTATTTTTATTATTCAGTATCAATAGATTGATGAAGAGGCAGACTGTAAAATAGAAATATTACCTGCAATAAAAATGCTAAGGAAATTAAGCCAATACACAAGTACATAGACAGATCAACAGGTTTTAAAATATATGGTATAAACTAAAACTCTAAATGACTATGAAGTAGTGCTAATTCACATTGATGAAAAATGCAGTTACTTCTACATATACATCCAATGTACACATGAGGAATAGTGGACAGGGAGGGCAATTTGTACATAAGGGACTTGGTGTGCTTTGATTGCAGTGAAAATTCAATACTCATAACCAAGAAGGGGTATATAGTTTTTTCAAATATGTTAATGCTAAAAATTAGTTTATTTAACATTCATAAAGTGAATAGTCAGTGTATAACCTGATCTCTCTCTCTTTTTCTCTCTGTAAAGGTGTTTATGATTTTAAAAAACCATATCAAAAAATAATTTAAATCTCCTTTACTTACTCATTTTCATTGGAAAGCCTTAGAGCTATTGGTTAACTCCTACTCCATGTTCCACTTTGAAATATTTTATGCTTTTTGCTGTAATCTTCCTTACAATGCAGGGGCACCCTCTGTTTTTCAACATTGATCATTTGACTATTATGT